CTGTAAGGAGCTGAGCATACGGGAGTTGTCTTACTTTTGAGTGGGTATTCTGCAGGGCACCAGGGGGGATTAGGAGGGAAAGGAGCAGGGGGCTTGGATCAGGGATGAAGAGTACACACAGGAGAGGTGACCAGGGCGACCAGGCGTTTAGGCACTGACTAAGGGAAACAGAATGGGATGCATGGTGGGACCAGCCCAGAGACAGGATCGGGTCCGTCAGACCCTGTGGATGAGGCTGGGGAGCAGGGATTCTAGAATGAGCCAGCCTTGGCTGGATGGATTGTGCCTCTGGGGATCTGCTGGGAGTCAGCCTGAGGAATCCAGGCCCCTGGCTCTAAGCGGGACCCAGGCTTCTGTGGGTCAGGAATGAAGATTAGATTAGGAGCAGTGTAACTGGCAGCAGCATCTCTGCGTTCGCCTCTCTACTGGGAGCCCGTAGTGAGCAAACCCAACACCCAGGTCTCCTGTGGCATGGAGACGACTGTCTTTCCGTGACGTGGGATTCACAGTCAGTGCTGGGAGGATGGCTAGTTGCTTTTGTACATTTCAACTGATATTACATTTGTCAAAAGTCCAGTTTACACCCAGCCTTTCAGGAACACACCTACTCTGTGAAGTCAGGCATGCTTTCATTCCCGAGGAGCCTGAAGAGCGGATTCATTGTGTCCAAGGAAATCAGAGAAGCTTGTGGAGAAATAAACGTTGAAGCCGTTGTCTCCAAAGGTCATGACAGCGGATCATGGAAATGTGTTTTTTCATTTCCTCATGTTCCACTGCTCATGTGCTACGCAGCTGGGATTTATTTTCAGAGCACACTTTGGAATCTGCCAGACCCTCATGCTGGCCTGCTTCACAGCTGAAACCATTTGCCATTTGGTAGATGATAAAGCAAGTGACAATTTATACTAACACAGCCTTAAAAAGATGCCGTCTGTGAAGGAGACAGACAGGTGTCAAACCTGGGCCAGCAGACAGCGCAGAATCAGCAGATGCCCGGGGCCTCCTCCGCGCCGGCCGCACCAGAGCTCTCAGCACACTGAGTCAGACCGTTCCACTGAGTAGAATTCTGGTCCACATATCCTGCTTAAAGATGTACATACCAGTAGTCAGCGTGATGGTGATAGCTGGGACTTTGTAGAGCGCCACGCAGTCTGCAGAGACTGGGTCTGTGTGGGAATGGAAGGCTGCAGGTGTGGAGGGGAGCGAGCTGATCAGCCACAGTCCCAGACCATGTGTGCAGGATAGTTCCAGCACAGCGTGACAGAGGCGGCCCAAGGCGAGCACAGCGCGCTGCAGAGTGCAGCAAGGAAGGTGAACACCGTGCCTGGCCTCTGCTGTCACTCCCCCAGACCTTCCTCCATCGGGAGCGGTGGGACCCAGGCTTGGGGAGGGCGACTCCTTCAAGGTCCTTTTGATTTCAGTTGATAGAAACGCTTCTGAGACGCTGTCTGCTGCGAAGCAGCAGCTCTCCAATCCCTTTCTCACTCTTGCTGGCTTTATCGTTCTTAGCTGTCATTTCAGTGTAACCGTCTGTTCTGCTTTCGTCTGTTCTCATCTACTGAGTCTGTTCTCTTCTTTCTTGCTGTTGTCCACTGTCTCATCCTCTAGAATATAATGGCCTTTGCCTGTTTAATTCTTCGTGCTTATATTAGTGTCTCTGACAAATCGTACAGGCTAAGTGAGTATTTGTGAAGTGATGGCTGAGCAGACACGTTGGGTAAGTCGTGACAAGAGGTAGAAGTCAGCTGGGCATGGTGGCTCACGACTGTAGTCCCAGGACTTTGGGAGGCCAAGGCAGGAGGAATGCCTCAGCCCAGGAGTTCAAGATCTGACTGGGCAACATAGCAAGCCCTCATCTCTACAAAAAGTAATGGGCATGGTGACACATGTCTGTAGTCCCAGTGAGGTGGGAGGATTGCTTGAGCCTCAGAGATCAGGGCTGCAGTGAGCCGAGATCCTACCACTGCACTCCAGCCTGGGCGACAGAGCGAGACCCTGTCTCAAAGGAAAATAAAAGGAAGTCAGGCAAAGGGAAGGGGGTTGCTCAGGGAGGGGAAGTGGCTGGGAAGGGCCAGGGATGAGAGAGGAGAGAGCGACACACTGGGGAGCTGTGAGTCCTTCTGGGAGGCGGCGGAGGCCTGGGCGGAGCAGTGGGAAGGTGTAGGGTGAGCAGGGAGTATGAGAGGGGGGCAGGGGCCGGGCCTCGGAGGCCTTTTATACTGGGCTGCGGGACTTGGATTTTCCTGGCAAGCAAGAGTGGAGAACATGGAAGGCTTTCAAGGAGGAGTATGACGTGATCATTTGGTCCAAGTCTGCCAGGAAACACGTTTGTTGCTTGCCTTCTGTGTACAAATCGCTTTTATGTATGTTGTGTCACAATAATCCTGAATGCAAGATCTTGCTGTTTCATTTTGCAGTAGAGAAAACCATGGACCAGCAAGGCTGAGTGCCTGGGGTCACATAAACGATAGAGCCATGGTTGCTTTTGTGTTTTAAGTAAAGAATTCTGGCCGCAATGCCGAGGCTGGATCGAAGGGGATAAGACTAGAGGAAGGGATGACTGCCCTTTTGCAGCCATCCATCCAGAAATGCAGCGAGGGGGACAGATCGAGGGTGGCGGCACTGTAGATGCAGGAAGCACACAGCTCAAAGATATACAGCAGGTAGAATCAACAGAGTATTGGTGACTCATCAAACGTTAAAGATTTTCATATTCGTTGTTTAATAAACATTGACAGAGCCCAGCATAGCTGTGATCACTTTGTAATATTGATTCCTTTAATGCTCACAAAAACGATCTGAAGGAAGTACTATTATTATCTTCATTTTGACTGATGAAGAGGCTGAAGCAGAGGTGTGAGGTCACTTGCCAGGGTCACACAGTGAGGGAAGGAGGCAGGACTTAGAGCTGCGTAGTCCAGCTCGGAGCCTGTGCTCTTACCTACTACATTTCTAGCTTGAGCAACTGGGTAGCGGTGGTGCCAATGACAAAGACAAGGGACTCTGGAGAAAGGGCAGCTTTGGCCAGGAAGAAGAATTTGCTTTGGGGCCTGAGGAACGTAAGATGTCAGTGAGATGCCCAGGAATCAGTTGTACATTTTAGGGGCTTCTGGCTGTGTTAAAGAAAACATGATTCTCAACACTAGTTAAAAACTACATGGAAGACTGTATTCAAGGGGTGCTGTGGGGAAAGGTGCGCGTACAACTGCACTAGGGTCTTGCAGGCTAGGAGAGAGAGCACCCAATTCCAACAAGGCTAAGTGAGTGTTTGTAAGCAAGAAGCAAGGTGGCCGCGGGCAGTGGGTGGAGAACGCCCAAGAGGAACCGCCAGGGGTGGGGGGATTCCCATTAGACTCAATCAACAGAATCCTGGCTCAGGACAGGGCAGGACGGTAGATTTCAAGGGTGGTCAGATTCCAAGGGCGGAGGATTCTCACCGAACTTAGTTAGGATTCTTGCTCAAATTGGGTTCTGCAAGGACAGAGAGGGAAGCTCAAGGTCAGGCCTAGCCAGGCAGAGGACTCACAAGAGGCTGACCAGACTTTCAGTCAAAGGAGAGAGGCTTTGTCAACTGGGGATGGATGTCTTGATTCCTCAGTATGTAAGACGTGGTGGAGCTGAAAGTCGCCAAGGGTCCCTGAGAGTGAGAGAGAGAGAGAGAGAGAGAGAGAGAGAGAGAGAAGGGCCAAGCCCAGGCCTGGGAATGCCCACGTGGGGTGAGGAGGAGCTGGACTGAGGAAGAGGGGCTACCCCAGGAGAGGCTGGAGAAGGTGCTGTCCCAGGGCAAGCATGTTCCAAAGGGCTGGTCAAGGATAGGGACAGGTGGAGAGGGGCTGAGGAGGGTGTATTAAATTGGGCCCCATAGAGAGCCCTTGTGGGCTGGGCTGGAGAAGCCGCCATGGAGCTGTAGAGGGTGGAGGCCAAATACGGTGGACTGGGCATCAAGAGGGGGCGGTGAGTGTGGACAGACCCTCCAACCACAGATGCAGAGAGAGGGGATAGGAGCTTCGGGGCCAAAGAAGGTCTTTTGGCATTTGATGGTGTTTAAATACTGGAGGAAGTAGACAGTAGGGAGGGGAGAGGGGAGAAATGGCCACGTGGGAGGAGGTCAGTTGATGGCCCAGAACCCCATAAGGGGTGGGAGAAGAAATACACTGAGGTTCCACGCGTCCTCCCCTGACATAAGAGCAAGGTGGGGGATGGATGCAGAGAAGTGAGAGGGACAGAGAAGGGTGTGCAGGTGGTGAGGGAGAGGAGAACTCGGAGATACTGACTGTGTTTCTGACTTAGATTTCTGTGCGGATGGCACTGCCCTTGCGGATGTTTAGGGAGGGTTTGGGGAGGAGTGGGTGAAGCTGCCTTTGAGGTGCGTGGCCCTGGGGCTAAGGAGAGGAAGGGGTTGGTGCTCGAGGTGTACCCGTAGGGTCATCAGCATCCAGAGATGACTGTCAAAACCTGGGCGTGGATAAAATTGCGTAGGGGACGTATACAGTGAGAAGAGAAGATGGCTGAGGCTGGAGCCTCCAGGGAGAAAGGAGCAGAGAGTGAGAGAAGAATCAGGGTGCTGCGTCTGAAGCCAGGAAGGGCTTGAGAACGGAGCAGCACGCAGTTGTGTGAAGCCCAGCAAAGCAGTTGGATCCAACACAGGAAAAACGTGTTTTGGATTTAGCAGTAAGGAAGTTGGTGACCTTGGCAAATGCCTTTTCCATGGAGTAAGGGAGAGAGCCAAACTGGAGTGACTGCTGGTGACAGAATCCAGCAAAGCCGAGGTGGCGAGTGTAGATGGCTCTGAAGAAAGCCAAGCGTTTTGAATTGTATGGATTTCATCACTACGTGAGTTTCCTGCCAAAGAATGTTGGGAATTCCAAGACACAAACAATTTACACAGCCACACTTGTCCTCACTGGGCAGAGCATTTGGAGAAAGTGCTCCCCGAACTGCCTCCCCCCTCTCCCGACCTCAGGCAGAGGCTTACGCAAATGTCCTTCTCTCTTTCTTAGGCCGGATCTTGGACCTGAAGACAGGGACGGTCAAGAAGGAAGGGCAGCAGTCATCTATGAGGATGTGCATGGGCTCGCGGCGCTCCTTCATCTGCAGGATGAGGTCTGTCTGCGGGAGCGGCGGGCCGTCTCGGTGCTTGGTTTGCCCTTCTGTGTCACTGTTAAGAGCCTTGAGCAGCTCCGCTGAAGTCACATATGCCGACCTGGGTTCACTCCAGTGACTTCGTCTTCTTGACCTCAGCGTGTGGATACACAGGATCCTTGGTCCAGGAGCGATTCCCTCCATCCTCCTGCCATCCCACTTTGTCTGATTTCCTACCATTTTCTGCTCGTTCCTAGATTCACACCCCTTTGTCCACTGTATCACTCTACTTCCCACCCATCTGTAAGACCCTTCTCCAGTCCAGCTTCTCCAAGATCCCATAATTCTCAACGTGTTTTGTATTAAGACAGCCAATTTCACACTCATTCATGTGTTTCCTGTCATAATGCACACATGTGTGACTGGCCTTTATGTTGTTGTTGATTGATACGTTAGGTGTAAATGCCTGGGTTCCATGAGTAAATCACAGTGCCCTGAGGGTGGAGGCTTTGATTTAGACTTCTCTGAGCCTCCCTGACATCTGTCAGAATGTTCTGTGTCTGTTGAGGTTTATGCATCATAATTGAAGAAATGCAGGAATGTCTGACTTGGGAGTAGTCAGGAGAATGTTGCCGTGTCCTTGAAGAAGAAAGAGCTGGGATCTTGAATTCTCAGATCTAGTTCAGCACCCCTGTACTGTCAACCCTGCGTCCCCCGAGGGATGGTTGGCATGAACTGCAAGGTGGGAGGTGCAGGGCAGAGAATGGAGATGGTCTGGGCTGTGGAGTTCATGAGGCAGTGGCACGAGGTGAGCCCACTCATTTATTTATTCAGTTATTCAGAAAATTTATGTTAAGGGCCCATCTGTGCCACATGCTCTTCAAGGTGCTGGGGAGTCAGTGTTAGGTAAAGCAACCAAGGCCGAGTATGTGGCTCACACCTGTAATCCCCGCACTTTGGGTGGCCGAGGTGGGCACATCACCTGAGGTCAGGAGTTCAAGACCACCCTGGCCAACATGGTGAAACCCCATCTCTACTAAAATTATAAAAATTAGCTGGGTGTGGTGGCATGTACCTGTAGTCCCAGCGACTTGGGAGGCTGAGGCAGAAGAATCACTTGAACCTGGGAAGCAGAGGTTTCAGTGAGCCAAGATCGTGCCACTGCACTCCAGCCTGGCGACAGAACGAGACTCTGTCTTTAAATAAATGAATAAATAAAAAGTAAAAAAATAATGATGCTGGCGAGGATGTAGAGAAAAAGGAACCATTCTACACCATTGGTGGGAGTGTGAGTTAGTCCAGCCATTGTGGAAGACAGTGTGGCCACTCTTCAAAGACCTAAAAAGAGAAATACCATCTGATCCAGCAATCCCATTATTGGGTATATACCCAAAGGAATATAAATCATTGTATTTTATAAAGGTACATGCAAGCATATGTTTATTGCAGCACTATTCACAATAGCAAAGACATGGAATCAACCTGAATGCCCATCAGTGATAGCCTGGATAAAGAAAATGTGGTACATATACACCATGGAATACTATACAGTCATAAAAAAGAAAATGATCATGTCTTTTGCATGGACATGGATGCAGCTGGAAGCCGTTGTTCTTAGCAAATTAACACAGAAACAAAAAACCAAATACTGCATGTTCTCACTTACAAGTGAAAGCTAAATGATGAGAACTCATGAACATGTAGAGGGAACAACACAAACTGGGGACTTCCAGAAGTAGACGGTGGAAGGAGGAAGACCATCAGGAAAAATAACTCATGGGTATTAGGCTTCCTGGATGATGAAAGAATCTGTACAACAAAGCCCATGACAAAAGCTGACTTTTGTAACATACCTGCACTTTTACCTCTGAACTTAAAAGTTAAAAAATAGAAGAAGATGTTCATCAGATAACTCGATGGAGAAGATGAGCAGACAGTTGGACATGTTATTCTGGAATCCAAGGAAGAGGTTGAGGCTGAAGATGTGGACCTGGGGATGGACATCAATAAAATGCTATCTAAGGCCTCAGATCTGAGATGCATGTGAAATCACAGCAGAGGTGGCTGTAGACAGAGAAGACAGAGGACCGGGGGCCGAGGGGGCAGGGAAGAACCAGTAAAGGAGGCTGAGAGGAAGCAGAGAGGCAGGTGGGAGGGAACAAGAGAGGGCAACGGGAACAAGAGAGGGCGAAAGAAATTTCTAGATAAAAAGGAGTTATCACTGGCTAAAAGCTACTGATGAGCGCTGAATGTGAGGACCGAGGAGCCATCACTGGACCTCAGAGGGAGAACCAGAGGAGATATGGCACGCAGCAGCACAACGGAGCCACTCACCAATGTCACCCTCACCTCATCGTGTGTTGCGGGAACTGTGACTTGCCGCTGGGGCATTCGTTGTGTACCGTGAAGTTCCAAACAATAGATGCTTTAAAATAAGTATCTATTTTCCATAACTCATAGTAATTTTTTAAGCAACTACACTTTTTAAGCAAACCCTGTTTGCGTGAAGGCTGGTTGGTCTCCCTCAGATCACCAAGGTCGCCTGTGTTGCGGGGAGACCTGGCTCTCCCACTCCTTGAGCCCTCAGAGCTGGTGGAGTCCTTTTGTTCTGTTATCCGAGAAGTGGCCCTTCTGGGATGTGAGCCTCCCTGTTCTTTCCTCCTCCTGAGGCTGAGCCTCTGGAGTTCTTGAAGGGACCGATGGAATCCTCTTCACTACCTGTCTTCGGTCACAGGCTGGTGCTGGAATGACAGAATGCATGCCTGTCTTTCACTTAGGACTGGGTCCCCACAGACTGCCTGCCTCCCCTTCAGCAGCAGGGGCGAGCTGGGCAGCGGGGTCCACTTGCATTGCTGCCTACCCGGAGATGAAATGCCATCAGCTGGTGAGTGTGGTCACTCACAGCAGGTTTGTCTTGCAGGGCTTGGGTGAATAAATGCCTGTCCTAGCTTGGTAGACGTTCAGTAGAGCACTAGCAATACATATTCTTAATTGTACCATCTGAGCAATTCCATTATGAATGAATTGGTGGAAAGTGCCATAACATATCATTTCTATTAGCCTATAAAGCCATTATCACTGCCCTGTCAACGGAATTCATACAGTCCCTTCCCCGCCCTAGTGTCCTTCCAGGGAGCGTGATATTGGTTGCTCTTTGAAGTGCCAGGTGCGTACCACCTGGATTTACCTGAGGGTAAATGGGCAGCACTGCCATCTACTAAGAACAAAACATTTTCCTCCAAATAAAGCAGCTTAGTTTCAGCAAGGCAGTGGACAGAAAGGGGCAGAGGGCCATGACAGCATCCCTGGGCAGCAGTGGCAGGGGGTGATGCTCCTGTGAAGACGGCTAGTGCTGGCAGCTGTCTAAGGTCTCAGAGTATAATTAGAGTCCTGTCCCTGCTGTATTGAAAATTTAGATATTCGGGATATTGCTTGTGATGTAGTCAGGAAATGGAAACGCACGTGAAGAAGGGTTATACCAAGCAGCAGGCAGAGCCCGGCCACCGTGCAGGATTATGCTGAGAGGGAGGCAGGAAAGCTGGTCCCCAAGTGTGCAGTCAGTGTCATGTCGCACATCCCCTGCCTCCCGCAGAGGGACCCCCAGAAAGAGCGATTCTCTACCTGTTCATCTCCCATCCCCGCTCTCTTTTCTGCCATCAGCAGGCTTCCAGCTGTCCGGTTATCTCTAGTACCAGAACAGTGTATGGGAGGAGAGAGTTTCCACAGCTGTGATGCTCGAAGCCTGAAAAGATGCTACTGTTCATCAACTGGCAACATCTGTTTTGAGTTGCTGTCTCTGCTCAGGCCTGAAGGGACATTATTGCTGTCATCACCCTCTTCCCTTCTTTCCTGAAAGCGGTGGATTTCCACCAGAGTGATCTGTAGGACTGAGCGTGGTCAGGTTTCTTCCAGAATCTTCCTGTAGGACTCCAGCTTCTGGACTGGGCCCTGAAACAATTGCAGTGTGTGTTGTAAAGTGGGTCACAGTTTCCTTGTTTCAGTGGCAAATAAAATTCAAAGGCATGCAGGTCTGCTTCTGTACTTTTGACGGAAACTGGCTCTAGGTCTCATCTGAATAAATGTGTGAGCATCAGTTAAGGCTCATCTACTTGACTGCACAATCTTGCCTGGGTCTTTGCTCATTCTAATACATCTGTCACATCTTAGGTGTGGAAATGCTCCTTTGGACCACCTTCCTCTAAACAGAATAACTACCATGAGGAAAAGGTTCAGGTCAGTAACTCTTCTAATGTAATTTTGGAACTGTTCTGGTAGATAGTCTGAACACCCTAAGCTAAGCAGCCCAGACGAAAGAAGGAGCTTTGTGTGGTGAGGACCAGGAGAACCAGACATCAGGGTGGCAGTGGCAGAGATGAGAGAGAACAGGGAGTTGGGTGGAATTTGTTTTTGATCTTCAGACCATGTGGGAAGAAGGAAGCCAGGATGGTGGGGGAGCCAAGATTCAAAACCACAAAGGCAGACCAGGAAACCCAGCAGCTTAGATGCCAAAGGAGTCATCAACATCTTTGCCTCGCCTTCATATGATGAAAACAATTTCACAAAATTTTTCTTTTTTTTTTTTTAGGAATGGCCTTGGCCCTGTGAAAGAAGGAGAAGCTCAATACGCTGTGGTCCACTGCACAGGATACATCAAGGCCTGGCCACCAGCAGGTAAGGAGACCTGCATATAAATTCCAAGGGAACTGGGTGCTGCTCTTACTTGACTATGGTGTCCTGTTAGAACTGTATTCTTATAGGAATCGGTAGGAAAATATTTTTATTTTTCTTATTTTATTTCCTGCTACTTGAAACAAAGGTCTCTATAAAGAGCTAATTGTACAAAGGTGATCGGAGTCTTAGCAACACATTTCTACGTTCTGTCACCCAGAGCATTCTATAAAGTCAGAGTGGCAATATAAAATGATGGTAGTGTCTAAATCATTACAGAAATGCAAACAAAAGCCACCATGACATACAGCGTACACTCACTAAGATGGTTAAAATAAAAGACAGGTTACACCAAGTATTGGTGAGGATGTGGGGCGACTGGGATCCTCATACATTGCTGGTGGGAGTGTAAAATAGTAGAGTCACCTGGGAAAACAGTCTGGCAGTTCCTAAAAATCCTAAAAACGGAGTAACCATATAATTCAGCAATTTTCACTCCTAAGTATATACCCAACAGAATTGAAAATGTATGTCTACAGAGAAATCTGTACAGGAATGTTCATAGCAACATTATCCATAATGGCCAAAAAAGTGGAAACAACTGAAATGTACACCAGGTAATGAATGGACAAATAAAATGTGGTACCTTCTTATAATGGAATAGTAATCAGGAATAAAAAGCAATGAAGTATTGATACATGCTATGGACAGACCTTAAAAACGTCATGCTAAGTGAACAGAGTCAGACGCAAAAGGCGACTCAGTAGTGTCGTGGGGCTCCTTGTCCATGGCATGGGTGCTCAGGTCCAGTGTCTTGTGAACCCCTCGGTTTTGAGTACTTGAGAAAACACAATGGTATTAGAAGTTTGTTTGATGAGAGGAAAATAAGAGCAAAGGAATGTGGGCCGCTAGGAGGGAGATTTCCGAGCGTGGCTCAGTTCACCAAGCATGTGTGGGTCTGTGTGGGTCTCTGTGGCCTCATGAGTGGCAGTTGTGGGGCCAGGTTCTCAGGGGTACAAACACAGACCTGTCTTTTAGGGATTGCAGGGATTGGTGGTGAGATCAGCGCATGTGCAGGTGACTACAGGGAGTGTGGTCAGGGCAGTCAGCCTTGGGGTGACAGAGGAAGGGTCCCTAACCTGCCTGGGGTTAGGACAGGCTTCCTGAAGGAAGCCCATAATGCTGCAGGATCTGTACTGCCAAATTGTGCCCCATTTCAAGGTGACCATGTCATTCCTCTTGATGCTTTCTTCATTTGAGTTGGTTAATCATTCGTATTTTACCAGGCAAATTTCTCTTCCTGCTTCTGGTCTCAAAGTGATCGTTTTCTTACCACTTTATTTGAGCTCCAGGCCCCTAATATCACATGGTAAATGCCTTGATCATGGAAAGATTCACTTTTAGTGTCCTTGTGGATGAGAGTGAGAAAGAGGGCTGAGACCCAAGGTGCAGGTGACTGCATCCAGAGAATCTGCAAAGAGGATTCAGGATGAGCTTTTCTGAAGTCGCGCGGAGTTCTGTGACTGTGAGTGTGAGTGTGCAGGTGACAGGGCAGTGGGACTATTACGCATTAAGGCTTCAGCGATGGCCCTTGAAACTTTGCCGCATGAGAAATGATGGAAGGAGCCAGGGGTGTTTATCCTGGAGAAAGTGAGACATGATTTCTTTCTTCAAGTATTTGAGGGGGTGTCATATGAAGGAGGAATTAATCTCACTTAGGATAGTTCCAGAAGGCACTATTTGGATGAAAAAGGGAAAGTTACCAGAAGGCAGAGTTTAACTTAATAAAGAGAAATGAGCAAAGGCAATGAACAGAGTGTTAAAAAATGTATATATAGAGGCACTAAACATATGGAAAAAGTTAGCCTCACTATTCACCAGAACTGCAAATTAAAACAATTTGTTACCATTTCCGCTTACCTATCAAAAGGCAGAAAATAGAAAAGACAAAATATGCAATGTTGGTAAGGTTAAAAAATAAAAAAGGACACTTTTATGCACTGCTAGTGAGAAAATAGGTTAGTACAAACCTTTTGTAGAATAATCTGGGAGTATGTATTAAATGTCTTAAAATGTGTACCTCTTAAGATACAGAAATGCTTTTAGGAACTTATTTCAAGGAATTAATTAGAGATGTACGCATGTGTGTTAAAGCATTAATTATAACTGTGAAAACCTCAAATTAATCTACATTTCGATGATAAGTGGTTAAAAATAGCGTGGGACACCTACATGATAAAATACTGGACGATAATTAAACAGGCATGCTTTTAGAGGCTGTTTAAGAACAAAGCAAAGTGCTAAGAAGTATTAAAAAGAGTCGCAGGTCATAAAACACGCACTTCGTGATCCCAGTTTTATTTTTAAATTATAAATGAATCAAGTGAATCTGTGCATTGAAAGCTTTTACAGAGAATATTAATCACTGTTATCTCTGTATAGTAGATCATTGGCTACTTTTTTCTTTTCTATTCATTTCTATATTTTCCAGATTTTTGCATGACATTAATAATCAAAGAAAATGTCATTTTTGAGAAATCAATCTAAATTTTCTAAAGAGGCAGTCCAGACAATAGGGTTGAGAATGTCTGCACCTCATTTAGAAGTTGTATCTTTTTGTTTGCTTTTCGATTTAGTTGGTCACGTTTCTGTCAAGACAGAGGTTCTGGAAAACACCACCGTCTCCCTGCATGATGATCAGAGCATGCCTGCAGGATCCTTAGCTACGTCACTTTGTTCTGTGGCTGTTTGTGGATTACTAACTACATTCTTAGCACATATAACACTATTTCGCGCTTACTGTTTAGATCCCTCAAGAGCAAGAGGCATGCTTTGTTCATCATCTCATTCAAGTGCATAGCTCAGACCTGATGGTTAGTATGTGTTTCATGAAGACTGGTTGGATGGATGGACAGAAGGAAGGAGGGAGGGAGGGAAGGAAGGAAGGAAGGAAGGAAAAGATGGAAGGAGGGAGGGAGGGAGGGAAAAAGGGAAGGAGAAAGGGAAGGAGGGAGGGGGTTAAAAGGGAAGTTTTTTCTTAGACAAAGAAATCACTGACTTTGAGGGATGGGTATAGGAAAGAATTTCTTAACCAGGGTTTCCAAACAAATTATAGAGTCTCCCTTCCCAGAAATCGTTAAGATAGTAGAGACAATCATCTAGCCTGGATGAGCTAGCTGAAACGAGGTAGTGGCACTCTTACCCTAGTATAAGGTTGTGGAATTAGAGCATCGGAGCAGCAACTCACTGAACAATTGGATGACACCTTGTAAGTGTTCATGGGGAACTGCCCTTGCTTGCTCTTGAGCTCAAGTTCCCTAATTACCAACAATAACTTAGTTAAGAAGTATGAAGATTCCGGAGCAGCAAAGTTGCTAAAAATATCTAAAGGCAACCCTGAAAATCCTTAAAGGCGGGCAGCAGAGGTGGACTTCGTGGAGGGAACAAGGGTTATTTGACAAACCACTTGCCACATGTCTGCTTTTACCTGAGAGGGTTAGTTGTTGACTGGTTGTTCTTTCTCCTCCCCAGACTCCCTGTTAAATGTAAATGCAGTGTATTCTGATACATTACAAAAGCTCTCTCTGTTACACAGTGGCCTTCTCAATTAGCCTGACCACATTTTATACGAAATTGGTTTCATTTAAAATATTTGGAATAGGACTAAAAGAAAACCAAGAGTTCTAAAGACAATCAACTCCCTTGCCTAATGCTTCAATTGTTCGTTCTGTCAGAAGTCACTCATGACGGGCTGTGTTTTCCATTTTGTGGGGTGCGTTCAGAGTCCAAAGGAAACTTTGAAAACCTGAAGATGTGAATTGCCTCCACCCCACTGTTATCACCCCAGCACCTTGCATTTTACGGACTGGCATTCAGCTTTGAGCCAAAAGTCTTTTCTAACAACAAAAGCTTCCTCTCCAGTAACCATCATCTGATCTGCCTGGTTCATCACCTAACAATCCATGGAAAGTGCCAGGTTAACTGGCAGTGTGTCTGTACAGGAGAGCCAAGGTCTGACCCAGGGGAAGGGGAGCTTGACCCAGAGCAGATGATGGTCAGGACCATCATCCCACCAGGACCATCTGGGTCAGGAAGAGGTTTGGGTGTGGGCTCCCTTGTGTGCTTTCTTAGTGGTGAAATGATGCCTGTCCTCACTTTGCTGCTAGACTTTCAGTAAGCTTTGGCCACAGCATGCCAGAGGCCTGAGGTTATTTTGGGGTTTTGGCTGGAATCTGCTGTGGTCAAGCCAGTACTGTCACTTCACCAGACAGCTCAGTTTTGCCATGAGCTCATCTATAAGAACCTTGCACTTCTTGCAGTTTGCTTGTTGAACATTGTGTTTGTTTTCCCTTCACTTGAAAATTTCCAAAAGCTGCTTGTCTGTATTGGGGCCACCAACTCACAAGGCAATGGCTGGATCCCTGCTTTCTCCAGCCCGCAGCCATCCTGCCCTGCTCATGAGGCATGAGTGCATCAGGTTGCTGCCTACTGCTCAGGACCTCACCAGGCATCAAAGCCATGATAAGCTTAGCTGATGAGATGGAGAATGATGATTGGCGAAGTCTTCTGACCTCTTTGTTCCTAGCAGGGCAAAGCCGCTCTTTCATTTCATTCCATAAATACTTTCTGAGCTCTGGCCACAGGCCAGGCACTTTGCTGGGTCTTGGGGATCCTAAGATGAGTCTGACACAGTTCCTGTTCTTAAGGAGCTCACGTCCAGTGGAGGAGACAGGTGGGCCTGCAGGTCATTGCAAAGCCACAGGTCAAGGGTCATAATTAATTGTGAGTACCAAGACTGGCTTCTCCTTGCTGCACACTGTGGCCAAGCGCCACTGAAAGCCTAGCAGGCAAAGAGAGTAACATTTGAGCTGAAACTTAAACACAAACGAGATATGGGAATTGGCTAGTTGAAAAAATGCATTACAGGGCATGGGAAATCGTGTGGACAAGGACAAGGGAAATGTAATGATGATTCCAGTTTTCATTTGCAAGTGATCACTGTG